TTGGTTACGCAAGCAGCAGTTACATTAGTATACTTTTAATGAGCTAAGGTTTAGTTTTACCATTTTTGAACATATTTGCACAAGCTTGATCAGGTCCCACGTGACTCAGAAGGGGCTGCAGGATTTGTCCCTGAGACATTGTGGGACCGACGTAGGCCTTGTGTGTGTTCTCTCCCTCATCCCTGAATGCAAGGATGTTGTGGATAAATGGCCCGTGTTGGGAGAGACACCTGTTTTGCCCTTCTCAGAGAACTGAAATCTAAATTCAGTTCTAATAGTAGGAGAGTTTTTATAGTGGCCAGGCAAAGAGGGGAGGACTTGGGGAAATTCCAAACCTGCATAGCCACAGACTTGGGATTGGCTGCTCCCTATGGGGTGAGGAGCTGCCCACTTCTGATTGGCTCTATGGTGTCAGGGGTTATGCCTCTCGAGGGAGCTACCTTCCTGGACCAAGGTCAGGGAGAGGTCACACCTCCAGACTAGAGGGAGCTACTTCCTTATTCAGGGATTGGCTGGGTTTTCCTGCTCAGGGATTGGTTGGTTTTGTGTTCAGTTGATCACGGCCAGACATGGCTCTGCCTTCAGGGCAAACTGTTTATTTCACTGGTCCTTTTTAGCCTTTTGGCTCTAATTCTAGGATCAGGGCATATTTCTTTAACTGGCTCTGATTCTAGGGGCATGTGTAGGTCATGGTGTTTTTCTCTGGTTCTGGATTCAGGGATTAGGCATATCTTTCGATGGCTCAGGTTCCAGACCCTGGGTGTGTTTCTTTTGCTACTTCTGGGTTCAGAATCAGAGTGCTCAGAGATTGTGCTATGGCTACAGATCTGCTGGGGCCTGGGTCTCTCACCCTAAAACATGACATGCTATCACTCAGTTCTTTGAAAATAGTGATGATTCCTACACATAGTTATTTACCTTCGTGTCACCCAGGAAGCATCCATAACAAATCTCATTCTATACCCAGTGAATGAGAATAGTCCCCATAGGCTTATTTAAATTCTTGGTCCCAGTTGGTGGAACCATTTGGGAAGGATCAGTGGGTGTGGCTTTGTTGGAGGTGATCTGTCACTAGGGGCAGGTTTTATGGTTTCAAAAGCTGGTGTAATACTCAGTTAGCTCTCTGCCTCCTACTTGCCGATAAGAATGTAAGCTCTTAGCCACCGCACAGCACCATGGCTGCCCACCTGCTGCCATGCTCCCCACCATGATGGTCATGGACTCAGCCTCTGATACTGTAAGCACAATAAACTGTCTCTTCTGTAAACTGCCTTAGCCACTGAATCTCTTTACAGCAGCAGAAAATTAAGACACCAAGAAGGAAGGAGAGTGAGGTTCAATGCTTTCATCATGGCAGAGGTCACCAGCTCTCAGAGGTTCACATGCAGGAAGACTAAACCTCTTAGAACTTCTGCTCAGGAGCCACATAGGGTCCTTTCTACTCACACCCTGCTGGCCAAAGAGCACCACATGACCATGCCAAGTGGACGGGGCACTGAAGTTCACTCCGCACAACACCTCAGCAATGGCACAATGTGTAACAATACCATGGGGACACACAGGACAGAGGTGATTGGTTCAATCTACCAAAGTACCAGAGAACAGAAGGCAGTGGACAAGAAGCCATGCTGATCTAAGGCTATGAAGTCTCCACTGAACAAGGTCAGAAAGGCACGTTCATCAGAGGCACTTCAGTCAAAAGTGAGTATTTTTTGGGACTGGAAGTGTTGGGGAATTTGTGGAAGCTGGGTGTAGAGGAGGAGGTCCAATGCCCACCTCTACCACACTCGTTTTAAGGCAGTCTCTCTCCCCGAACCTGGAACTGTGTGCTTGTGTGTGCGTGCGTGCGTGCGTGCGTGCGTGTGTGTGTGTGTGTGTGTGTGTGTGTGTGTGTGTGTGTGTCCTATCCTGCCCTTTGCCCTCTCAGAGGCTTGAAGGAGGTGAGCCTCAGTGGCCTTCCTGTTTCCACTCTCCTCAGTGCTGGGATTATAGGCTTGCACAGAACTATGCTGTCAGAGTCCATAAAAATGGCTTCACTTCACCTTGGCTTAAGGTCACAGAGTTCAAAACTATCCTTATTCTTCCAAGGTTAAAGCCATAAGATCTAAGGGTTTAAGGCATGGCTACTACAGGATACTTTGTCTTAGGCGTGGATGTCTCATATAAATAACAAGAGACTTGGTCTAAGGTGTGGTTACTCTTAACTCTCAAGGCCAGATAATGAGAGATTTAGTCCAAGGCGTGGTTACTAAATATTTAGAGAATTTAGGAAGAAAGTCTGTTTCTTCCTTGTATCATGGTAAAGAAGTCTTTTGCTTGTGAGCCTAGCCTTTAATAGCTGAGCCCCAGCACTCAGGAAACAGAGGCAGGTGGATCTCTGTGACTTAGAGGCCAGCCTGGTGTACAGTCGGTGCCAGGATAGGCTCCAAAGCTACACAGAGAAACCCTGTCTTGAAAAAAAACAAAACAAAGTTTTTTGCCATTTTCCCTGTTTTGGTTTGGGTATATTAGAATGTTGAATAAACTTGAAGCGTTCAGTAGTCACTATATTACTCTCCTGACACTATTCTGTGTCTCTTATCTTTTCCTTAGTATCTTCACCTGCTGTTTCTCAATCCACACTCCCCCTCTCAGGTACCAACCGGGCAAGTCGGCTGGATCCGACTGAAGCCCCACAAAGATGGGTTACTACACATTGATGTTGCAATGTGGGGCTACTACAAATGGCTAATACACTGTGCCCAGCTCATTACCTGTCTTCACACTTGCTCTTAAGCATAGATTTCTGCTAGTAGTTGCTTTGTCAGCAGAATGCCCATGTAATCAATGTAATGAATCTTTAGTGATGCTGTCAGTCTTATTTCAGTCTTAGTCCTATTGAATTATAGCAGAACCTTGTGGAGGACATTCGTTCAATTCCCAGGACTCACATGGTGGTTCACAAACCATCTGTTACTAGAGTTCCAAGGGATGCAATGTCCTCTTCAGACCTCCATGGGCATGTAGAGTACATAAGTACATTGTGCTGGTTGGTTTTGGTCAACTAGACATAAACTTAGACACACCTGTGAAGAAGGCATGTCAACTGAGGAACTGTCTTCTTCAGGTTTGTTTATAGGCAATTCTATGGGCCATTTTCTTGATTAATGGTGGGTGTGGGGAAGGCTCAGCCTACTGGATGGTGTCATCCCTGGCAGGTGGTCCTAGATGGCATAAGAAAGTGGTCTGAGGAAGCTTTGGGAAACCAACCAGGAAGCATCATTCCTCCCTGGTCTCTGCTTCAGTTCCTCCATCTAGGTTCCTGCCTTGAGTTCCTGTCCTGGCTTGTCTTCATGATGGACTACCACTGTTGAGCTGAAATAAACCCTTTCCTCCCCAAGATGCTTTTGGTCATGGTGTTTTACCACAGCAAAAGAGAGCTGCAAACACTCATATACATAGATAAATCTTCGTTAAAAATATTAAAAGATTCAAATGGGTCACTGAAGAGCCTCTTCTTACAGATACTTAAATAATATTGGATCTGTCAAGGACTAGAACTTAGTATTGCTTTGTTTCTTACATCAGAACACATATTCCTTTTTAAAAGAAGTTGAGATGCCAGCAATGACCCATCACCCTTTTCTCTCCCTGATAGTCTTCTCACTTTCCACTGGAAACTGCCATTTCCCTCAGAAAAGTTAAAATGAGAATACCAATCAATTTAAACGATCAGGCCTGCTTTTTAAAAGTCCAAATTTAAACATCAAACGAGCTGTCCATTAAGACGACGACAAAGAATTTCTAGCCTCCCCTCTCAATATTTTAATTCCTATCCAATGATTAAGCTTTCTTTGCTCTTGGTCAGGGTAACATTTCCAAGATGTGTCCAGTGTGCTGTATCTTATGTATTAAAAACACAGCACATCTATACCACGGCATTTGTGCTTACACACACGTGTGCACACATACACACACAGAAGCAATGCGTTTAAAATATATGCTTAAAGAAAGCTTCTCTTGGGGCTGTGGAGACAGCTCAGGGGCTAAGATCACTGCTCTTTGAGGACCAGAGTCTGGTTCCCAGCATCGGCATCAGGTGACTCACATGTCACTCCAACTCTAGGGGTATCCCATGCTTATCCCTTCAGGCATAAACATACTCACGCACAAATATTTAAAATAAATCTTTTCTCTTTTTTAAAAAGGTTCTTTCCTTGATCAGTTAGGCTCCTGAGCCCAGTCCTGGGAGAGGCCTCTCTGCCTTGGTGCCCACTCCATCTTCTGCTTGCCCAGCCTAGTTTTAGCCAGAATCCCCCTAAGTCAGTTTAGCACTCTTGAGATTTGGTCACCCTGGCCTGCTTTCAACAAGAATCCCTCAACCTCTGACAATTCCTCTTAGCAATTTTCCATCTCCTGACATCTACACCCCTTCCTCTTGGCTATAAATCACCAGCGCCCCCCCAGAAAGAACTCAGTCTCTCCTAGTGTTTTAATAAGCATCAAGTTGGTTTTTGTTTTTAAACAAGCTCCCGACAGAAATCTAACCATAGAATCTTCTAGAATAACGAGGGTTTCGGGCTCTCTTGGAACACTTGCTATACTCTTCACGATGCTGCAGGCAAACAACTCCAAAAAAAACCTTTCTACACGGCTACTTCGTCCGGGAGATGACATGCTTGGGAGTTAATGGGCAATACTACAAAAACCGCGTTTCTGCCAGGTACAGCGTTCTGGACAGAATAGGAACGCTGAGCCCGGTCCTCCCTCCGCCTCCTCGGTGGGCTAGAGTCACAGAGCATTTCTGGACGCCTGAGCGGAGCGGTCACCGGTGTTCCGTCGAGCAAACGTCCACCTGAGCGGCTACAGGCGCGCCAACCACGCGGGAACGCCGCGGCCGCCTGCTCTCGCTCGGCTCGCGGCACCGACGTCGCCGGAAGCACCGCCGAGGCCTGCTGACGCCAGGCGCCCTAAGCCCGGCCCCTAACACCCCCGGCCCCGCCCCCTCCCCGCCCACCACGTGTCCTCACTCGGTCGCGAGGGGCCGCTCTGGGGCGGCTGGAGCGGCTGGCGCGGCGGAGCCGGTGGCGCGGTGAATGCCGGGCCGCAGCCCTCGTCGCCCCCTGCGGCGACACCGCCCGCTCGGCGGGGGTGAGTGCGCGCAGGCCGCGGGGCTGGGGCGGCTCCTCCATGGGGCTGGCGGGGGAGGCTGGGCCGCGGCGGGGCGGGGCGGGACGGGGGCCGCCGATGGCAGCTGTCGCCGCCGCCTCCTTTGTTGCGGGCCGGCCGGAGAGGTGGGCGGCGCGGGCTGGGGCCGCCCCGCAGGTGCGCGGGGACGCGAGCTGACAGCGTGTGCGGGGGCGGCGGGATAGGGTCGGGCAAGATGGCTGGAGTGAGCAGGGGCGGCGGCGGGCACCTTCGGGCCGGCCCCTCCCACCTCCCGCCCCGCGGCCGGGCGCAGGCCGCGGCTCCTGGGACCTCACGGGCTTTCCTACCCCCCCAGGCCGCCTCCCACCCCCGGAAACATTGGAGAAGCTGACTCGGAACTCCGGGAAGAGCTTTGCTTCGCAAGTCCCCGAAAATGGGACTCACAAGATGCACACTCACTACACACCCATCAACTGCCAGCAGTCTTCTAAGGAGAAGCTCTTTGTACCGGCCTGAGGAGGCTTCGAAGACAGACAATTTTCGACCCAGAGGCGAAGAGTCCTGCCAGATGTGGGTTGGCCTCCGCCACCCGGGCACACCCCTCTCTGTATCACGGACTTGGCTTTGGGAGGTCCTTTAAGACTGTTAAGTTTCTGAACTGGCTTGTGGACAGCGCCTGTGAATCTGGAAAATCCAGGTGATAAATATTTTGTGCCAACTATTCAAATGCTCTGTCTAGGCTCAGACTCTGACTTGGAAACAAACCAGCTCTCCTCTGCCCTGATTCCGTGTTGATGCTAGAGGTGGGAAACTTAACGCCTGTCAGTGTAGTTTCAAACCTCTTCTGGAATGTTCATCCACCGTTCTCAGTTCTGCCCCTCTGTACAAATGGTTTCCAAATCACAGAAAGTTAGCCAGATGTATCTGCCCGCGGCCCCTCTATTAAGGCCCCTCTAATAATGAAATAAGCCACTTTCCCTGAATCCCTTCTAGCTGGAAATAGACAATGTTTTGCAGGTCTGTGTGTGCCTGAACCACCCTTCCAGGGTCCTAGAATGCACTCTGACACCTGACTTGTCTGGTAAATCTTGCATGCAGAGATGGAGTTCCCAGCCTATCCTCTAAATTTGTCTCTGAAAGAAGAGCAAGAAAAGGAGATTCAAATCCAGGAGCTGGAGGATGGCCCCACAGATATGCAGAAAGTACAAATTTGTTCAGAAGGCGCATGGGTAAGTAAAAGTGTGTGGGATCCAGCCTGAGAGTCAGGCCTGCTTTAGGTCTCCTGGGGCAGACATGGGAAGTAAAAATAGCCCAGTCTCATGTGTTTGCATTCCTGAGAAACTCGCCCTGTGACTTCAAAAGGTAGTGCAAATATGGAGGGAGGAGGCGGTGATGGGGACAGGGCCTCTGGCACCAAGGCTGATTATGTCTCAGAAACTGAGACCTTGTCTTCATGTCACTCTCCATTCACCCACTCCTCGCGTGCTCACTTAATATCGTCACAGATATTGTAGGCACCAAGTATACACTAAGACGTGGGTCACTGAGCTGACGGAGAACTTAGGCATAACAGTTTGATACCCAGTGTTATTTGTCCCGCAGGCATAAGTGGAAATGCTAAGCTCCGGAATACACAAGTGTAAGTTCAACAGTATTTAATACATACATTTACTTACAGTTGTTACTGGGGTTGTGGAAATTGAGTATGAGTAGTAAACATTTTAAATAAACAGTAAATTGACATTGCTTAGTTTTTATTGTATATAAACTTTATCAATACATACTATCCTTTGTGCCCAATAAAAGGGAAGCCCTCCACCATAGAATACAGAGCTACAGGCAAAGAATTGGAAGTACCCTTCTTCCAAATTATCTAGTCCACCCTTCCTGCAGGACCTCAGGTACCAAAAAATTAGGCTTTATTGCCTGGATCCCTGTGTACACTGACTTCCTGAGCTGCAGCCCAGCAGTGAAGCATGTTTCCGTGTTATGTCTCAGTGTAAACCGTATCGCCAGGCTCTGAGCTCACTGGTCTGGAGCTGTGGTACCTTTTATCCATTTGTGTTTGTCCACCCTGCCCTCCCCAATTCTGACTTGTGCAGTCGTCAGTTCTGGCTGCTTGCAGACCTTACAGTAGCAGAAACCCTGGATTCTGAGGCTAAATTGAGCAACCCAGGGCAACTAAATGGGCTGGAGCAGTATGGAAATTGAGTGCAGTCAAAGTAGACACCTGACTGTGTTGTTGAGCAGATGAGCTTGCCTTGCCCAGGAAAGAAAGGTGTGAGCAGAGTAGCTAGAGGAGGCAGCCCTGCAGCTTAAGAGGTGGGGCTGGGATTTGGGCATTTGTAACCTCTAGAAAGTCAGCTGTCTATGGTGATACTTTGTTAGGATTTAATAAAGATTGCCTGAAGCATCAGAAAGCAAAGCCAGCCACACTAGTTAGCTATAGAAGCTAAGCAGTGGTGGCGCACCTTCAATCCTAGGACTCCGGAAACAGGTAGATTGAGCCACTTGAAATTGATCGGTCTAAAAGAGAAACAGCCCACACAAAGGAGATCTCAGCACTCGGGATCCATGGCCTTTAATCCCAGGATTTGAGAGGTATAAAAGGAAAGTGTCTCTGAGAGAATTTGTCTCCAACCACGTTGAGGAGGGGCAACAGTCTGAGATTGCAGGCTGAGGCTTGGTGGAGACAGGATTGCAATGTGAGGTTTGGCAGAGAGCGTTGTCTCTGAGGATTCCTGGTCATTTTAGTCTGAGGTAGGTAAGAGCTACTGCTTGGCTGCTTTGCTTCTCTGATCTTCAGCTTGAATCTTGAACCCCAGTATCAGTTTCTGGGTTTTATTATTCATGTTACAGCTGTCCATAGACAGTTACTGCACAATGTTATGACAAAACCGTTCCTTTGTGCAATCCCCAGTCTCATAAGGGAAAGAAACCTGACAGGGCAGCAGAGGGTATCTCAGGATTCTCTCAGAGGCAAAGAGGGGAAGTCTCATTCAGGCATGACAGCTTGCTTCTGGAGAAGACCTAGTCTTGAGCCATGAACAATTTTGCCCCCTCCCCACCCTGGAACATTTAGCAGTATATGGAAACGATTTTAGTTGTTGGGAGCTAAGGTAGACGTTGGAATGTGAGGCCCTAAAAGCATCCTCAGTTTGAGCCAAGGATCTCCCTATACATCTACAGTGCAATTGAAGGTACCCTGCACATACAACAAGGAACTGGGCGGCCCAAAATGTCAGGAGCATATGGTTGAGACACTGATCTAGCACATGAAATTGGGAGATGAAAAAATAGAATCTGTGTTTTAAGTGCATATTTTGATAATAATATTAAGATGGTTCATAACTACTCACATGTGAACTGTGCTCTATAATAGAATTGGAGTAGAAATACAGTTTCAAATAGAAAGAAAAACATATCCTTTGAACTGAACCTTATAATGAGTGGGATGAGCAAAGGAAGGGAGACAGAGCTTGTACTCCGGGCAAGAGAACAGCATGATCTAGGCATGGGAGCCAGGCTGTGGCTAGAGTTAAGAGACCCCGAAACTGGAACCTTAAGTATGAGACAGGCGGTGGACAAAGGTAAGTCAGGGGGCACGGTGTGCTGCACCGGGTAGTTAAGCTGGCCTGAGTAACTTTGAGGAATGAGTCTTAAACCCATCAGTCTACACAATAGGCCTCTGTAGAGCAGAGCTGGGGAGGATTACATACTACAGTCACTTAGAAAGGCCAGGGTCGCCTGTTGAGACAGCACTGGCTTTGGATTCAGACTCTAGCCGTATGACTTCAGCCAGGTTACTTAACCATAAATGTTCAGTAGCAATCGCCATATTCATAGCTTATTTGAATAATTCAGAGATAATGTTTACATGGATGGAATACCCTAGGCAGTGCCTGACCTAGAAGGGGCTCCATTGATGCTTCCAGCTCCCCTCAGATGCTACTGTCTAGTAAGCTGCAAAGTGTGCAGTCACTTTACAGAACAATTACCTTGGAGGTAAGTATTGGAATGCCAGCTTCCCAGGAGAGTGAGGCAGTGCGCACCAGCTAAAGAACCCTTCTCTAATGAGTCCTTAGTCAGGTGAGAGAGGCAGGACAGGAATTTCAAGTTCTTACCTGCAAGGCCAAGGAAGGATGACTGAAGCTTGAACTGCCTACAGACTGCCTGGCTTCTCAGTTTCAACCAGAGCCAGCACTGTTTACTTTCTGCTGTGTTTGATCAAATAAAAGGCTTCTATGAAGCAAAAAAGGCCTGTATAGCAGGACCCAAAAGTCTTGCCCATCTTCTCGGGGCTCTGGGGAGACTTTCTAAGTCTCTCTGTTGTGCCTTGGGTGCTTGTGGACTTGTTTGAGGGTCCTCTAGCCAGGTGATAATTAGGAGAGGCTGAGGCCCCCACACCAGCTCTTGAAAGTCAACATTTATTCAGGTCTAGAATGTGTTACCTGCCCTGCAGGGATTGATGTAACTAGGCCTGTGTTCTTCTGTCAGTGAACAGGAGATTATAAATAGTTACAGCCTAGATCTGGAACTTGTAAGGGAGTGAAAGGCCAAAGAGAATTGTTTAAAATCTTGTGTAGTAGGGGTAGAGTAGACTGGAAGTTCTCGGAGCTGCCTGGTTGCTAGATTGAGGAAGTCTGAGGAAAGCCTAGGGACCACACCATTTTTATCTCCTACTGTTTGTTCTACATGTGAAGAATTTCTGTTCAGTTTTATTTGGTTCTTTGACAAATAAAATTTTAATTCTTTAAAACTGTTCCAAGTATGAGAAGAGAAATCCAGAGGTAATATATTTGCCTCAATAACACATTCAGTAATACCTATGGGTCGTGACACGTCCAGGGATCCAATGAACCTTTCACAGACATCCTGCATAGCATATGTTTACAAGTCATAACAGCAGCAAAATTAAAGTATAGTAACTAGGTCTAGTTGACAAGGGAAGAAAGGCCAGGTGTGAGTGATTGACAGCTTGATTCCTGAAGAGGCTGCAGGCCATATATACACTGATTTTTCTAAGCTAAGGAGAGACTGTGATCACCCAGGCCCAAGACACAGCTTTGAGGAGTAAGCTCGAAGGAGAGAATGCGAAGTGCATAGCCTGGAGAAAGTTCACTGGTGATTTCTTAACACTTAAATGTGAGCTTTGGAGTAGCACTTTTAATGACCACAAAGAAAGTGTAGTAGAAAGGAAAGAAAACAAGTTGGAAAAGCAAGAGATTTTGGTTGCTGGCCATTGTTAGCTATGACTTCACTCCCTCCTTTAGGGACCCACAGACACACCATGCAAAGCAGGAGTCCTGTTCAGTTTGAAACCCAGCCTCTTATGTGTAGGGTCTCTGGCAGGGATATAGGGAGGTGAAGTTGGGATGGACATTCTTGTGGGGATACTTACTTGGGGTATGGCTGGTTCTTAACTTTGGGGTCCCCAGTGAACTGTAAGCAGATCTCAGGCAGTCCTGAGAAGACAATGCCCAGCTGTGGTGGTGGTAGGACACAGGAGAGCTCTCAAACACCCGTGCCTCCAAGGGCAAGGAGAAAAGACAGACCATTCCCCCTGGGTAAGAGTCCTGACCTGACCTGTGAGAGTGAAGGCTTGCCTGACACAGCCCATCAGATCTGTGTGCATGTCCATAGCAGTCATTGAGAAAGGACTATTCACATTCCAGGTACCTGCCCTATTTGATGAGGTGGCCATATATTTTTCGGATGAGGAGTGGGAAGTTTTGACGGAGCAACAAAAAGCCCTCTACCGGGAAGTCATGAGGATGAATTATGAGACTGTCCTGTCCCTGGGTAATGTTTTGTTTTTCTTTGTCTCTGGGAAGCTCTGGGCCCAGAGAACTGTCTTCTCTGCTGCATCCAGTCTGCTCATCTGAATGGAACTCCCCTCCCGGTGTCTGTGCCAGCTTTATTTCCTGGCTTCGATTTGGACAGGGCAAACAGATTAGACCCTTGTATTTGGCCCAAGTAATCCCATTACTTTAAATAAACAAACAAACAAACAAATAAATAAATAAATAGGTAAAGTATAGCCATCAAAATGTCCCCATGGATCTAGGCCTGTGTTTTATTGATCTTTGGGAAAGAAAGCTTTATTGTCCTATCAGACACACTTGAGGATACACCAAAGAGTACTCCCCCAAAACACACACTCACATCCTCCCTCTTCTCAGAGTGTAACCACTTGGAAAAACTTCGCAGGTGTGATCCGTTGGTTCTAAAACGTTGTTTCCATGGCTGCATTCCCCACATCCCTGCTAGTCACTGCACTGTGCTGTTGCTAATACTGCTCCCATTAGCAGAGGTCCAGGAATGCCTGGCCGGGCTGCTTTCCACCCTTTATGCTTTTACTTATCTCCAAGTGCTGTTCCCATCTTCAGCAGTCGGGGATAAGGGTGTTCCTTACTTGGTAACACACAGTTGTTTTCCTACTTTATTTCCTGTGAACAGAATTCCCGTTCCCTAAGCCAGACATGATCAGTCGATTGGAAAGGGAAGAGGAGTATCCTAATTCTGATGAGTGGCGGCTCCAGGGAGTAACCTTTGCAGGTACGGAGAGAACCAGTTCAGCATACACTAAGGGAAACAAGCAGGGGTTTTGGTTTCCATGTGTATTCTGTGGAGTGTTCAGGAGTGAGGCACAAAGACTATGTGTAGGCTTTGGAATGTAAAGATCCCCTTTCTAGGACTGTGTGGACTTAGGCAACTTCTTTCTCCTGGACCGACATTTCGTCATCACTGGCTGTGAGTTTGCACTCTGGGGTGCAGCCTAGTGTGGAGGAAGTGAACCGAGGCGGATACAGAGTTTGGTCCACACGTGAAGGAACGGGCTGCTTCGGCAGCAGGCCACATGCCTCTGCAGACGGCACAATGGGGAGTGACAAAGCACATCCGTGTGTTTATTCACTCTAGACTTGTGTTCCACTCTGGGTAGGAAATGCAGTTACAGCTGTAGTATACACTTGGATAGTTATTTCTAAGAAGTACCTAATTTATCAGAAGAAATGGTTAGAAAAAGTAATCCCAACACTTGGGAGGTAGAGGCAGGAGGCTCTGAAGTTCAAGGTCATCCTTGACCAGCCTGAGCTACATGAGACTATCTCAGAAGAAGAGAAAGTATGTGTGTGCACCCCTCACACCCACATATTTACACTTATATGTAAGTGTACGTATGTGTCATAGTTCTGAGGCTTTACCAAATATATTTGCTTTTCTTTATGCTTTAAATAGTTAAAATGCTATATTTCACTGATCCCACATGCTCTCCTTGGTGTTACTAACATTGCAATTGAGACAACGCCTAAAATGAATGACATGATAGCTTTTCTCATGATACATAATAGTGTACTTTATAGTTGATGGCCTTTATGTGTGGAAGATGCTGTAATCACCATACACCATGTTGCCTGCGACTGCCTTCCAAATGGAAATGTATGATGAAACAGTTTCATCTGTGCAGAAACCAGGTGTCTGCATTATAGGCTTAATTTTGTTGACATTGATCTTGCTGTAGGTTTGTTTTTGATTTATTTTGGTTTGGTTTGGTTTGGTTCAGCTCAAGGGGCTTCCAGATTTCTATAGTATTAGGTAGGAGTGTGGATATATTTGGCTTCTGACCCACATGAACATTGGGTGATGCTGGTGGCATGGAGCAAGCTCTAGCTCCAGCTGTTTTTTTTTTCTTTATATGTTGAGACAGTGTAGTCCAGTCTAGCAATGAACTTGTGATCCTCCTTCCTTTGCCTCCCAAATAGCTAGGATTACATACAAGTCTACCCCATCAGGCCCACACATAAGCATTGTTTTCATACAAGCATGGCCCTGATATCATTTGCTCCAGGCTTAGTACTTGGATTCATTTCCCACCCAAAGTTCTCTGTCACTTCCTAGCTTGGTGATGTTACATTTCACAGCATCTATGGTCTCTGCTCTCTGCTCAACTGCAAAGGGCCTCTGCTACACACAGTACTATGAACATAAGATTTGGTAATCTGTGCTAATGGGACAGAGATAAAGACTTAGGCTGTGTTATTTGTTGAACTTTTGTTTCATTTTTTATGAGTTCCAGATTAAACATTATGACCTCCCCCAAATCTATGAATAAACCATTTTACTTACTGGCATTATTTTTGCCCCTTCTTATTTGTCTTCTAGAAAATCAAGAATCTGACTTTAAGACTCCGCATTGGGCAAGCCCCATGACTGCCACCTCTCCTTTCCCTCAACCTCAGCACTTCAACAGCTTTTGGCATCTGCCTCAGGATATCACAGAGCTGCCCGAGTGGAGTGAGGGCTACCCCTTCTACATGGCCCTGGGCTTCCCAGGGTATGACCTCTCAGCTGATGACTTGGCTAGCAAGTTTCAATTCAGTCGGGGCATGCGCCGCAGTTATGATGCAGGGTTCAAGTTGATGGTGGTGGAGTATGCTGAGAGCACCAACAACTGTCAGGCTGCCAAGCAGTTTGGGGTATTGGAAAAAAATGTTCGAGACTGGCGAAAAGTGAAGCCACAGCTCCAAAATGCCCATGCCATGCGGCGTGCATTCCGAGGCCCCAAGAATGGGAGGTTTGCTCTGGTGGACCAGCGTGTGGCTGAGTATGTCAGATACATGCAGGCCAAAGGGGACCCCATCACCAGGGAGGCAATGCAGTTGAAAGCTCTTGAAATCGCCCAGGAAATGAACATTCCAGAGAAAGGGTTCAAGGCAAGTCTGGGCTGGTGTAGAAGAATGATGAGAAGGTATGACCTGTCTCTGAGGCATAAAGTGCCAGTTCCACAGCACCTGGCAGAGGACCTGACTGAGAAGCTTGTCACTTACCAGCAGAGCGTGCTGGCTCTGCGCCGGACACATGGCTATGAGGTAGCACAGATGGGCAATGCAGATGAGACACCCATCTGCTTAGAAGTGCCCTCTAGGGTGACTGTGGACCACCAGGGTGAAAAGCCTGTCTTGGTCAAGACACCAGGTAGGGAGAAACTGAAGATCACAGCCATGCTGGGTGTCTTGGCTGATGGGAGGAAGTTACCCCCATACATCATTTTGAGGGGGACATATATCCCCCCTGGGAAGTTCCCCAGTGGCATGGAAATCCGCTGCCACCGCTACGGGTGGATGACCGAGGACTTGATGCAAGACTGGTTGGAAGTTGTGTGGAGACGGAGAACTGGAGCTGTGCCCAAACAGCGAGGGATGCTGATCCTGAATGGCTTCCGGTGCCATGCCACCGACTCTGTGAGGAGCTCCATGGAAAGCATGAACACAGACATGGTGATCATCCCAGGGGGCCTGACCTCCCAGCTGCAGGTGCTGGATATGGTAGTCTACAAGCCTCTGAATGACAGTGTCCGGGACCAGTATTCCAACTGGCTTCTGGCAGGGAACCTGGCACTGAGCCCCACTGGAAATGCGAAGAAGCCACCCCTGGGCCTCTTCCTGGAGTGGGTCATGGTTGCATGGGACAGCATCTCAAGTGAATCAATTGTCCAGGGGTTCAGAAAGTGCCACATTTCCAGCAACTTAGAGGAGGAAGGTGATGTCCTATGGGAAATTGAGAGCCAGTTGCCCAGAGAACCGCCAAAAGAATGTGATCCTGAAAGTGTGGCTGAGGGCATCTGAAGGAAGAGTTGAGGTAACTGACCAGGAGTAGAAGTCCACCATCACCGATGCTCCTGGCATGTCTAGCACTTATCTTTTTCCTGGCCACTAGTTTCTCTAAGTTCTCTTTAAGCCTGCCATGCCACAATATAGACAGCAGGTCATCAGCATTTTCTTTTGTACTTTGTTCTCTGGCCTAGATCCAGGAGCACTTGTGTAGTGGGTATGATGGACAATGAGCTGCCAGAACACTTCAAATGAGAGCAGTGTGACTGCAAAAGGTTACTTGGTGGCTGGGCATTGGTGGCATACATCTTTAATCCCAGATCTCTGTGAGTTCGAGGCCAGCCTGGTCTACAAGAGCAGTTCCAGGACAGCCTCTAAAAGCCACAGAGAAACCCTGTCTCAAAATCCCTCCCCCAAAAAAGCTACTTGGGCCCAAAAGAGCATAGTCAACATTGTTCCATTTACAAAAAGATTTTCTGAAAAGATAACTTTCTTCTCTTATAAATGCTGAACTTTTAGGGCTGGTTTGTCTGCTTGCATTGCTTAACATTGTTGCACTGCCTCTTGCTGATCTGCAGGACTATGACCCAGGGAGAGAATGAAGTCTGCCTTTAGTATCTCTGAGCCTCAGGTCTGTGCCCTAGGGTGGTCATACCATGCCCACCAGGGAGTTGATAATATGTATTGTTTGCTTTCCTCTAGGGAATGTTGAGAGTTTTAAAACATCATCTTAGTCCATGGAACTTCAGATGGGGTGAGCCATTACAGACAGTTCCTGATGTCAGCAGATGTCTGAAGGGTATTTTTAAATGAATCTTTGAAGTGCTGCAGAGCTGACTCAGCAGTTTTAAAAAAAAATACTGTTCCTGCAGAAAACCAGTTTGGTTCCCAGCACCCACATCATGTAGCTCATAACCACCTGTAACTCCAGCTTCAGGAGATCCAGTGACCTCTTAGCCTTCTAGGCACCTGCAGTCACATGCACATTTCCACACACAGAAACACAGTATACATGTAATTAAAAATAAATAGTGGGCTAGAGAGATGACTCAGCAATTAAGAGTGCTTCCTGTTCATTCTTGCAGAGGACTGGGGTTCAGTTCCCAGCACCCACATGACAGCTCACAGCCAGCTGTAATTCTACTTCTGGGGAATACAGTGGTCTCTTCTGGCCTCTGCCAGTTCCTGCATGCATGTGGTCTACATGTCCTCATGCAGGCGCACATGTATACACATAAAAATGAAAGTTTTAAAAAAATTAATCTGCACCAGAAATAGTACCACAGTGAGTAAAGTTTAAGGCCCTAAGGTAGGGGTGGGAGGTTGTATGCAGAAGAGCAGCTTTGGAAGAAAGCAGGCATGGGAGCTGAGCAGGCAGAGCCCACCTAACAAAAGCCCTCTGTGCATACCCCTTGAGCGAGCAGAATGCCAGGGAAAGCACAGACAACTCATCCGTTCTCATTTTCCTTTTCAGTCCACCTGCAGCCTTCCAAAAGTGGCCAGTCTTTGACAGAAGACCTAAAACTACTTTAACATATTTTCATACCTTCTCTTAAAAAAAACTCTACTAGTATATATTTTATTGCCCATCTGCCATGCAAGTAGAATGCTAATTGAAATCTCTACCCACTTTGTGCTGCGTAAACACAGGCTCTTCATGACATACACTTCCTGCCCTCTTATCCTGCCCTTGACATTGAGCCCTAGACTCAGAGTAGAGCAAGCAGTTCTTAATGCTGCATTCAAGATAACTAAAATGGTTTCTTCCCATGCCCCTGCTTTTGTATAAAGTCCCATGGATTCAGGCCCCCTCTCTGGTGACCACTCTGCTGTCCCCATTGCCTAGCAGACTTTGAGTTGCAGGGTTTTGTTTTTTGTTTTTTTGTTTTTTGTCTTCTCTCATTCTTGTTTTTCCCCTCTCCGTTAGAAGACATTTTCTAAGCAATTTATCACGTGTGGAACCCAATCAAAACCATCAGAAGAGGAGTGGGCAAGAACCATGCTAAGTCACAGCTGTCCACACAGGTACTCACATCCCACGTCAGCGGGAGCCTCTGCTCCTCCAGATGCCTCCATCTCTGTACAGCTGCTGGGGAGTGATGGAAATAGACTGGGATTCACAGCAAACAAGATCCACAAGACAGGCATTAAAAGCATCTCCTGTCATGGAATAGAATGCTGCTTTTGTTAAAAGTCCAAGCTAATTCATACTTAGGTTCTCTGTTTTCAGCAAATAAAACTGATTGAAACACCTGAGAGGAAAAAAAATGTAAGATGACTGCAGAGGGACCAAAAAGGGCAATAAGGCTCTGAACATCCAGGTCTGGACAGCAGCCTGAGCATCCTATCTCAAGACAGCTCCACCCACCCCATTCCATCCGGTGTCATACAGACCTAAGACCCTTAAGTTTAGCAACAAACTTAGGAAAGAAACGTTCTGTCCCGTTTCTCCTTTCAGAGCTATCTCCTCTGCCCCTTATAGAAGCCTACAAGGGATAAAGATACTTCCTGGAGAAGAGAACATCGTTCAGCACCAAGACGTACCGTGTCACCACAGCTCTTGTGTCTTTTTCTGTGGAGCAGAAGCCTCATGTATATACCTTTGCAGATGCTTCACTAGAACTTGTTTGCACACAGGTCAAGATGACCGAAAAGCTTTTGTAGAAACCACTCGTGTACTACTGTTACTTACACATCTCACTGAGACAATGAGATTAATAACAGCAAAATGAAGACACCGGCTTGGAGCCGGAAGATAAGAGTATAAAATAAATGATGCTGTTACACTTCCTAATCTGGTTGGCAGCTAGACTTTTTAGGGTCTTATTCAATGACCCTACATTTCCTATTAACCCTCTTTAATGAGGCAACGATTGGTAAACAGGCCTTTGCTTTTCAGGCCTTTGCAGACGTCTCTAGGTCATCTGTTTACACAGACAAGACCCACTGACTCATACTTACTTGGTTAATTTCTTGAATATTTTTATCAAAAGGGCAGTGGGAGGGATTGGGCCTTGAGCCACAGCTGCTTTCAGACTTCAACTCTACAAGAATAGATATGAGTCATTGACTTTTTCCACAATAGTAATTTGCATTCCTGCATAAGTCAACTACTAAGAAGAACATTCCTTCAAAGCTATCTGTACTACAAAAATTCTACCAGAACCTCACAGGCAAAGCCTTTACTAGACTTGTCATTCCAAATACTCAGTCTGGCCAACCGGTTATTAGGACTTTTTCCTTCCTCCACTCAGCTCATGTGGATGCTGTACACTGTTCCTGACATCTTTACCAATTTCTGCTCAGGTACTCAGATAACTGCTTGCCGTCTACTTTTCTGATCTGTTTTAACCAGTCATTACACCTGCCCAGTTTGTCAGAGTTCCAAACACATGAAATGACTTCTAAGATCTGAATGAACTGACATTTTAATTGTCATTAGCTTTGTCTGCACTGTCTTGTCATCCCCAAATGGCATCTGTTTCCCTCCATGCCATCAGGGTTTGTTTTTTTTCCTTCCACTGTCCTCTTTCCTAACTTTTTCTTGCTTGAGAGCTTAAAAGATGCCATGTTGGGGTTTCCACACAGAAGCCAGGTATCTTAAGGGAGAGTAGAAATGAACTTAACTCCTGTTCCCATAACATCACTCATCTGCTGAGATGCCTTATAAGTTACATAGCACTGGAATTTGCCTAGAGTGATGGTTCTGCTATCAGGGTCTTCTGGGATACCCTCCTCCACTGACTTAAGATGATTTATACAGAGCCCCAGTACAGCTATTAGCAAAATAGTGGTTACCCGAGAATTACCATAGCACACTGGTACTCTCTACTAGATAGAAACTGATCCCAGTAATAAACTTTGATAACAATGACAATAGGCTCTGGAGGTTTTATTTATCTGTTGGTATTGCCAAAAGTAAATTTTAAGCTATTGCCTATACTTTATTCACCAGATTTGGTAACACTGTATTACACCTTTGAAGCAAAATATACTAAAATTGGAACGATACAGAGAAGATTAGCATGGCCCCTGCGCAAAAAGTCTTCATGGGACTGTGTTATAAGCATTTTTTTTTAATTGGGAATATGGGGTTTTCAGGTATGTGCTAAGATCCTCTATGTGCCTGGTAAAGCAAGTCACATCTGTGGCTAAACGCATGACTGAAAGCTTAGGGTAGAAATAACTTGGGAGTAACTCTGAAATTACCCAGTTTCTAATAGTTTTCTTCCAAGTATTTTTCCTAAGTGATCCTTGACAATATGTGTTTATAATTTCTTAATTATAGGAGAATGCACATAGACTCATGCCTGGCAGAGGTATCAGAAATGGAGCCAGCCTTTGGTGGAACACAAAAACTGAAATCTTTTACAGGAACTTTTTAATATCCTAATTATTCTTATGTTCCTCCCTTTCCTCCAACCCCATCTCCTCACATCAGAAAATTGCTTGACAACTGGCATGGAAGACAGACCTTAGTGTAGACCTTAAAATAGTTAAGGTAAGCTGGGTGTTGGTGGCTCACGCCTTTAATCCCAGCACTTGGGAGGCAGAGGCAGGCGGATCTCTGTGAGTTCGAGGCCAGCCTGGTCTACAAGAGCTAGTTCCAGGACAGCCTCCAAAGCCACAGAGAAACCCTGTCTCGAAAAACCAAAAAAAAAAAAAAAAGAAAAATAGTTAAGGTAAAATGACAGTTATGCATTTGGAGTTTGTGGTCCCACTGGAGAGGTGTGTAAGTAGGCCAGGGCCTAGCAGTTTACAGTTTAGAACCTCCTCTGCTGCAAACCCTTTGGAATTTTCCATTGCAGGGGAGACACACATACACACACACTTCCTCTGCTACACAGAACCCTTTTGGAATTCTCCATTGCCAGACACACACACCAACCCCTGAATAGCATAAGCAGCATATAGCAGCAGTCTAAAACAAGACCACTATGTGTGTACCTATCACTCCAAACCCTTTCAACTGCTAAATGTTATTGAGTATCACCCACCTGACACTCAGAAAAGTTTGTGCCAAGAAGAACTTAAGCTGTTGGTTTTTGTGAGGTTTTTTTTTTAATCTTAGGCCACATTACCACTAAATGCATACCTTAACAGGAACTTGCCATGTCTCACTTACCTAGTACATTCTTCTGGAGTTTGAGCCAAGATCTCATATGGATCAACTTTCCCTGTTTCTATGGAAGATAATACTCCCTACCTGGCTGCGCAGTGATGGCACATGCCTTTAATCCCAGCACTCAGGAGACAGGCAGGCGGATCAAGGTCAGCCTGGTCCACAGAACATGTTTCAGGAAAGCCCAAGCTACACAAATCCTGTCTCAAAAAAACATATATATGTATGTATGTATATACTTACCTGCTTATTTGAATAAACAGAAAAAGGTTTACTCCCAAAACGTTTATTTGTCACATTTAAAATACAAAACCAAATTCACATATCCAGATATAGGAACACACAAAAATACTCACATGTATCTAATGTTTAGGCCAATGAAAATCTATATGTACATCTATTTTATCCATCAACACTATATGAATGAAAAGCAACATAGCTTTAAAACAAGTTGGTTACCAGTAACACTGTCAAATGTAGTTCATAGTACCCCCTGAAAGAGTAAACCAAATATTTTGTAGAAATATGAAAATTAGCAATTTGTAAGATTTCATGAAGGCTTGCCCATCAGCCTTTATGCTAAAACAACTGAATTACAAGAAAACACTACAAGGATAACTGTATTCTAAGTATTGGACTAAAGTATTAAATGCAAAAAAAACCGCATATCCAAATCCTGTTCTTGAGTGAAAACAGTAGATTGCCTGGGAACTTCTCTATCTGCTAAGTAGTCACTAAAGGAGAATTCTAACAGGTTATTCCACCAATATGCAGAGTATAGTTCTTCAGGAAAAGCAGATTTTTCACTGTTGGATACAGAACATACATCATTCACATACAATAGTCCCGCTAATCATGGGGCCTGAGCTACAATAGCATCTTTATTCTAGGTCACCTATCTTACCAACAGACCAGAGATACTACACCTTGGTTGCCTTAACATCCCTATTCAGGAATAGAACAATGCCTGCTCCTATACCTGGGGGGACACACACAGGTCATCATCAGACATATATTAATGGCTTCACAGTAGCAACACAAAATGCACTCAATGTCATTTCCATAGGAAAGGTTATATACACATTATACACTTCAGTTTTGAAATGTGGACTGAAAAGCATTCAATTTTCAGCAACCAATTTAGTGATGGTTCCAAATCTTCAAATCCTAATTTAGCAGAGCAAAAGTCCTTCTTTAGCTGCCAAGCGCTGGTGGTGGACTTTGTCTTGTTGTAGCTCTTCGTGATTGGGGTGCCAAAGTTTCATGATGATCCTTTCAATGTTAAGGGCATACACAGTATGTGTAGGAATGACTTCCCTGTGTACCTGTGATTTTAAAATTACACATTTTCTATTATGCTTCAGTAGACTTGTTTTCCCAGCATTAAAAAGTATAACTTATTTTTAAAAACTTCTTATGACTTAGGTACCCTATAAACTTTAAGACAGGACATAGTGAATTCCAAGTCAGATAATAAGAAAACTAAACAGATCTGTGGGCTGCTCAGCAGTTAAAGATAATTGCCATGCAAGCTGGATGACATGAGTCCAATTTCTGGAACTCAGATAAAGTAAAGGCGGAAGGAAAGAAATGACCCCACATGGTTGTCCTCTGATTGCACACAAGTCATGACACATTGACCCACATGCACGCACACAATGGCAATTTAAATTTTAAAATTGAAAAAGAAGCTTGAAAATAATAAGGAACTATGGGATTACTTGGAGTAAGATATTTGTTTTAATGAGAGATAGAGAATGCGAGGTAACTTAGGAGGAACTACAGGGTTTGGGGTTTTTAAATGAGACTACCACTGTAGACCATAAAAATAAGTCAAAAAGCAGAATATGAGTCATAGGCATCAATGCAGCAATAACTAGGTAAACCAGGAGCCAAGAAATACCTGCAGAGCTTCAAAAAGGTCATACATGTTCACCGGGGGCAAGGATGCAGGTAGAGTATCCCCAGAGCATGCCAACAGGAATGCAGCCTGCTGTTCAGCATCGTCAGGATGTGGTTGAGAAGCTGAATTCTGACTGGCACAGGGAGCAGAAAAGGCTGGAGGGCTGGAGAAGAAGTTTTTAAAGAAATATTCTCAGTACCCAGAATGGAGATAAGTGAACACCCAGAATAGAGAGGCTTGCTAGGACACACCCCATTCTGAGTATCTTTAAATGAATCAGAAACACACCACCTTATAGAGAAAGAGTCCATGATTTTAATTTTTCAAAAGGTCCATATAATGCAGCCATATTTAACTCCCTCTTCCTAATATACTAATATACTTATTTTGCTCAGGGTAATGAACCAAACTGCTTCCTGCCCCTAGAGTTTCCAGTTTGGAAAAACAAAACATAAACAAACAAACAAAAAGCCGTGTAGCTGGAGGAATATGAAATTGAAAAATTATGGAGAAGGCAAATCATACAGAATGCAAGTTTAAAAAATAAACAGTAAGAGAAGTAGCAGGCAAAATGAGACTGTGGGAAAAACACCACCCAGATTTTTCTAGTTTCCCAAAACAGGCCAAATAGAAGACAGGTCTGCCTTCTACATCAGTGCAGAAGAGATAAGTAGAGTTGCCAGGGAAACACAAGGAGGGGAAGCAGAGTGGGGCGGGCAGCAGCTGTGGCCTACAGTCTCAGATGGAAGCAGCTCTGCTCACAGAACAGCTTCCTGGGGATGGGGACAGCAATGGAGGGCTCCAGGGCAAAGCCATGTCAGAGCTGACTCCCAATACTCCTTACTCCATCTTTCCCTATCGAATGACTTAAATATGAAACAATCTCATACAGGTATGTCTGAATGAGGTTTGGGTAGTAACTCACCACAGATGGAAACCTAAACAGGGACCCCAATTTGAGATGACACTCATCACAATGTCTCTACAGCCTGGGGATGGCCACAATACCACCTCTCCATGTGCTGCCAGCTCCCCTTACTTAAATCTGCCCACTTTCTGTTATTTTCACACTGCCACTCCAGCCCACCCTCCTAGTCTTAACTGTTGACTTTGATCCTGTCTGTATCCTTGTGACCTCTTTCCTCCCATTCTCCAGTAGGCAGACAACCAGACAGACAAAATCCAGTCTTTGAAGAAGTGCAGCCACTGCCATAATCACAAGGAAAACCACTGTAATTTCTTTTCCAAAAGGTTAAAATTAACACTGAATTTTGTGGGGAAAGCAAAATGGATAAAGGTAACCTGAACCAACTCATAAAAGGATGGCTTAGAACTGAAGATGGCCCTAGGAGCCCTGAGTCAATTGAGGATAGATTTGTTCAACAGGATGCTAAGAACAATCGGAAGACATGGGCCCAGGCCACGACTCTGAGCTACAGCCATGAGCGGCAGATGAGAACATGGACAACAAACATCTACCCCTCTTTCTCCTCTTCCCACCATCAGACACCCAGCCTTAGCCCATGAGCAGGCCACCTTCTCACCAGGCAGAAACCATCATTCAGGCACACTACCTGAAGGGCTACCCCATCCCACATACAAAGGGAGAGGCAATCAAATAACCACCTCTGGTTAGAAAAACAAAAACTAACTATAAGACATGCAACTAAAGAAATAACCGATTCATTAACAGTGGCCTCTCACACAAGGTCAGTGGCCAGGCAGCAAAGGACTGATGCAAGAGTGCAGGAAGCCACTCACCCTTCAACCAAGTTGTTGTAAGCCACCACACTATTCTTCAGGTACGGTTGTGGGGCCACATTACTACCAAAAGCGTACTTAAAATGGCCATCTCGGACCCGGTAAGCTTTCCTTCTCGACACAACTGAAGTCAGTATATCTTTGAGGTGATTCTGAAAAAAAAAAAAAAACTATACAATTTCCATTGCCAAGTGGTCCTTCCATTCCAAATGGTCCTTGCATTTGGTGATGTAGGATGACAGAAACGCTCATTAAAAGAGCCCAAGCTGATGCAGAGGACACGGGAGAGAAGGGTGTGCTAGCTTCCCCTCACTATCTTTAAAGAGGCTGTTCTACAGGCAGTGTTCTTTGAAGTGGATTTTACTTCATAGTTTGCAGTACTGAGATTGAACATCACACGGGGCCTCACATGCAAGTGCTCTCCATAACTCCACATGCACTGAGTTTGTTTCCCGTAAGTGGACGTTTCTCAGAAATGATTTGTTTTAAGACAAATGACTGTGAAATTTAACTTAAAATGAGACAACAATTTTAAGATCTAGTATTCACTGGTTAGCAAAATCAAATACTCAAAAGCTCTACAGACAGACAGAGACTACTGTGCATGTCTATTCAATGCTCTTCACCTTTAGAAGACCAAGAGCTGAGTGGGGAACATGAAAGTAGGACACGCCCAGCATATGCTAGCACAGAAGAGCCAGGATCGGGCCAGGCATTCCAGTCACACCAACATGTCTTTCGTCTAGCAAGACAGCACTGTGCAATTAAATACAGGTTCTTCATACAGAACTCAGTGTTTGTGAGTGCAACTGCTATCTCAGAAATGACTATGAGGAAAATGAGACAGTTCTTGAGTACTGTCTGGTATCAGTGCAATGTACATTTTGTCAAATAACTAAGTGACAAGAAATCTCACTGTTCAGATGCCCACCGGACACTCTTTAATTGCAGCACTACCTCAAACACGAGTGACTTGAACCACTAGAATTTCTGACTTCTGTTTTTGCTTAAAAACTGCGTCTGTGTTGACAAACTAAAACAAATTTAAAAAGAGATAAGTAAAAGTATGGATGTTGCAAGGGAAAATTTCTAAAAAACAGGCAAATTCTTTGGTTGTGAAGTAGGAAGTGTTTCTCTTCAATGATGACAGATATGAAACTTGAGTGGCATTTAGTTCCTTTCTGTCAGTATCAGCTTTAAACACACACAAGCTCGTTAACAATTATTATCTGTAGTTATTTCTACCAACAGCAAACCCACCTCCACAGCATAGACAACAGCAGAAACAGCTTCCTCGGTGACGTTGTCCAGCCCATGCTCGTAGGCAGTCACGATCATTCTCCCTTCAAGCTGACCTCGTGTGGGGAGCATCATAGTATGAGAACAGAGTTTCAAGTCATCATCATCCTGGGGATCCTTTGCCACAAACTGCTGAGCGCCAGAGAGGGGGTTCTGAGGCTGGAATCTATGCTGAGTAAAGAAACTTCACAATTACTCACTCCAATAGCAAGTAACAAGACAAGCAGAAGAAACCCATCTACTGGAATTAGAGACCTACAAAACTATACCAAAGGGTATCAAAAGTTTTGAAGTACAAAGTAAATTGTGGCCTGGAGAGATGGCTGAGCCATGAAAAGCTGCACAAATGATCATAATTTCACACCTGTTACATGCTGAGTTAAGGGGACAATGGCTATCTATACAGCAAACTGTTCTCTACCTTTTTGAAACAGTCTTGCTATACCTAATGACCTAGACGGGCCTCAAACTCCTAATACACCTGCCTCAGCCTCCCAAGAGCTGGGATTACAGCTGTGTACCTTCATGCCTGCAGCCATTTATTATATTCAATCAATACCTTGGTGGCCACAAAATGTATGGCATTATGCTAAAAATAACAATCTGAAGTGATGACACAGAACTATTCAGAAAGTCACAGAAGTTTAATCATAAGTAGATTCTGGAGTACAGACATATAATTAATGCTTCAGTTAGGATTTACAAAGCCTAACTGATCAAATGGTAGCTCTGACAAATAGTCCAAGCTAATTAATGTTATAGGACAGAAGCAGCTCCTCATTGTGACTGTCTGTTTACATTCCTAACAAACAGAAAGCATAAATAAAACATTCAACCTTTGTTCATTTGTGCACACTTTAGCATTCCTATGAAATTCATATACTCCACCATCACTGGGGAGATTTGTTCCTGGTACCTCTGATTTTAGAGTGGAGACGTGTGTGTGTGTGTGTGTGTGTGTGTGTGTGTGTGCGCGTAATAAAAACAATACTGGCATTTTCCCATTTCCTAAGTGTAAAGCTGTGACATATCCAACACATTTTAATCCAGGTATGCCTCTAGATACAGTGGAGATGCCCAAGTTGAGTAATATTACTGACATAAAGCATGGAACAGGCAAGCCTAGGATGAAAAACTTTTGGAAAACTTCTCTTCCTACCTAAAAACATATATCCCGAAAGGTTTACAAGTTTTATTGCCAAATGCTTCATAGTATCTATACCAATATCTAAAAGCACAGAGAACAGCTAGGTATCATCAGGAGCCTACCAGAGGCTCCAGGCTAATCCCTGACCAGATGTCTTTGATCTGAGACCAGAATGAAGAGAGAACACAAGCCCAGCTTCCCATCATTGGCAACTCTGAAGTGCTAATGACAACATTTATGTGTAAACACTGACAATATATTTGTAAGCTGTATTTACAACCTTTTTTCTTCCTAAATCACTTTTTTCCATACTGCTGGTGACATTTAAAATCACAGCTACTTAGCCAGGTGTGTTGATATCTTTAGTTCCAGCACTTGGGAGGCAGCTGCAGGCAGATCTCTAAGTTCAAGGCCAGCCTGGTTTACAAAGCAAGTTCCAGCACAGCCAGGGCTACACAGAGAAACCCTGTCTCAATCCTCCTCCCCCCCAGAAAAAATTCATAACTACTTTATCACACTAGTACTTAACCCACAGTTGCCAGAATCTATTGGAGAATGACATACATCAAATTTCTGACGAACAGAAGAAAGCTTTTTCTTGCCCTTGGGTTTTCCAGGCTTGGCTGCAGAGCCCCCTGTCCAGGGCAAAGATCCAGCACCCTCTACAAGACAGAAAAACAACAGTCACAGTGAAAAAGACAATAACCAAAGTGGAAAATGACAACAGCTATTTTTTCCCATTGGGGATTAAAAGCATGGACCATTTGGGTAATGAAAATTTAAATGATGAAGTTCAAATCTGAATCTTCTCTACTTCTCTATAAACAAAATTATAAATCTCAAATCACATGTATCCATCAAAGTCACTGAATTTGGGCCGGGCGGTGGTGGCGCACGCCTTTAATCCCAGCACTCGGGAGGCAGAGACAGGCGGATCGCTGTGAGTTCAAGGCTGGGCTGGACCGACAGCCTCCAAAACAATACAGAGAAACCCTGTCTCGTAAAATTAAAAAAAAAAGAAAGTCACTGAATTTGAGATTGTGTTAAACAGAAAGCCAGGAAAAGCTGAGGAACTCTGGAAGGACAAGGATAAAGAAACAGACACTGAAGCTAACAGATCCAGAGACAAGTGTAAGCAACAATGAGGGACAATGGACTGTGGTAATATTTCGTTTATGATCTAACAAATAAAACTTGCCTAAGGACTAGAGTGCAGAACTAGCCACACGCATTGGCCATAGAGGCCAGGCAGTGGTAGCACACACCTTTAATTCCAGAACTCAGGAGACAGAGGCAGTCAGGCATTTGTTAGTTCAAGGGCACCCTGGGCTACTCAAAACTGACCCAGTCTAAAAGAGAGAACTCACACTAAGAGTGATTTCAAGTGTGTGATCCCTACACTTGGAATCACATGTCTTTAACCCAGCACTAGGAAGGTGGAGGCAGGAGTGATATGGCTGGGCAGAGAGAGGAGTATAAGGCAGGAGGAGACAGGAGCTCAGGGCAGTCTGAGGCAGCAGTCAGTCTGAGGACAGGATCACCCCTTTGGTCTGAGCATTGGTAGAGGTGAGAACTTTCTAGTATCTGACTGCTCTACTTCTCTGATCCTTCAGCTTCCACCCTGATAGCTGACTCAGAGATTTTATTATTAAGAAAACAGAAAAGTCATGCTACAATAGAAGACTCACGGCAAGAAGAGTACAGCAGTGAATGCATTGGGATGCGGAGTACTAGTAAGGAGCCGCCTTTACTAACAACGTTCTGTACTGATTTTCTTTTTACAACTGGGAACATAGTGAGATATAGATATCAATCAATCACTTGGAAAAAATCTCCAAAATAGTAATTTCAAAGAAGTACTCTTCTAAAATAGTTTTTTAAAGGTTTTTTTAATATGTACGCATGTGGGGGGTAATATACACATGATTATAGGTGCATGAGGAGGCCAGGGGCTTTGGATCCCCTGAACTGGAGTTACTGCAAGCTAGAAGCCATCTGACATGGATGATGGGAACCAAACTTGCAAACTTGGGTCCTCTCCAAGAGCAGTATGTTTTTTAACTGCCAAGCCATTCCCCAGTCCCACCACCAAAATCATTTTAAAAGAAAAAAATGCTCATTAATTGTAGTAACAGGTTATGCCATGTTTTTAAAATTCATTGTTTTCTATTTTATGAGTGTGTTTGCCTTCATGTTCATATGTGTATCACAAATATGCCCTGAGAGCCCAGGAGAGGGTCAGATCCCCGGAACTGGAGTTACAGTGGTTGTGAGCTGCCATGTGGGCGCTGGGAACTGAACTGGCCCTCTCCCCAGCCTCAGCCATTACCATTTTAATGGGTTAGAGTTTCTGTTTTGTTGTTCTGTTAGGGAAGCTTTGGGCTCGACAGTTAAATGATTTCCCAAAGAAACCTATTCCTGCAATTAGAACTGGGTCCTAGGTGCCGGCAGGAAGGGCCGACTGTGGGACACAAAGCAGCAGACCAGAGGGACCTAGGAGCAAGGCATGGGTAAGCAGGTAGGGTAAGGACAACGGGAGGAAGACACTGTGAGAAAGGGTTCCCACAGCACTCACACTGGTTTTGAGCCAAGACTAACTGTAACTACCATTTAAGGAGACAGGGCCTCGGGCAAATTTTTAAATTTTTGTTTTGTTCTGATGTCTGTTTTCATGTTTATTAAAGAGGCTAACAACACCCTGAAGAGTGGCTGTAAGGAGTAAGTTATCTAACATGTCAATATTAGCATATTATTAAAAATGTATAACTGTAAACCAATTATAAAATTGTATAGCCAATAACATTCATTTAAGAATACTGAGTTTTTATTTAATTAAATTAATCAGCCAAGTATATACTTATGAATACCATTTTTCACTTGGAAATGTACTACTTTACATATTCTTTCATCTGTTTTTCTTGGTAAATGTTACTGTATCTATTTCCTAAGTGTAAAAGCTAAGAATCATAAGTATTAATTATACTGGTGACAAAGTCTAACCCTGAGCGCACCCCTTGCCTCCAACCAGCCTTGCCTGCTGGGAGAGAACATGCCTACCTAGAAAGATCCAATCCTCACAAGGTTGGCTCTTCTGCTAAACACAGGAGATTACATTATGATCCAACTTTAGACATACATAAAAGAAATCTGGCTAAGCCGGGCATTGGTGGCTCACGCCTTTAATCCCAGCACTCGGGAGGCAGAAGCAGGCAGATCTCGGTGAGTTCGAGACCAGCCTGGTCTACAAGAGCTAGTTCTAGGACAGTCTCCAAAGCCACAGAGAAACCCTGTCTCAAAAAAAAAAAAAAAATCTGGCTAAAGTTAACTTCTATTTAAGCTAAACAGAACACCTGAAACCTGACACAGTGTGTGTGGGGACAGTGGTAAATGGTCAGGGGCCACCCCTCTCCAGCTGACCTTTCAGAAGAACCACCACTATCTACTACAGTCAACATAACAGCTTCTGTAAGAGCCTTACATGGTAAGATCATATTTGAATTCCTTATCAGATAAGCCATGTTAGTTATAACGATTAAGAGGTATAATACAGGGGCTGGCTGGAGAGCTGTTTCAGCAGTCAAAAGCATACACTACTCTTGCAGAGGACCTGCGTTCAGTTCCCAGCACCCACATTAGGTGACTCACAATTGTCCATAACTCCAGCTCCAAAGGGATATGATACTTGTAACTGAATTCACTTTGCACATAGATAAACACATGAGTAAAAATAATAAAATCACAAAACACCAGTCTGGTTGCCTTTTAAGACCTACAGAATCACTCTTGGCTTGACCAAAAGGAAAAAAAAGCTGACAATCTACAGAGGCAGGAAGCACCTGTAAATCTCAGTTTTTAACAAGGTCCAAGACAGCTTTTCACAAGGGAAGTTTCAGAGCACTCACCCTTGCCTTTGCCTTCCTAAAACTGGCTGAAGGACAAGTGTATAAACAATTGATGTGTACCTTAGAACTCCAATTTCTATCTACAACCAGTTACACGTAGTCTTTACCAGCCTTCCTACCAACGATTAGACAGACACTGAGCTCTTACACACACACACACACACACACACACACACACACACACACACGTGCGCGCGCGCGTGTGCGTGATGCTTGGAACACAGCCGAAGCCCAAGTCTCTACATCATCCTTTCATCCTGAACCTCCTGAACCCCCCTCTTGGTGCCATGCCCCTCCTTCCTGCCTTCACTCTCTGAATCCTCATTGCTTCATCTAGAATACAGCAAGCCGCGTGGGGAGTAAAAGTAGGAAATAGGAGGAAATCATCTGTTAAGGGTGTGTTTGTGTTGTGCGCACGCTCTCGTGCACAAGTGTGAGTATGTGTACAATGACTATCACCTGTGTAACTTGTTGTTGTTGTTGTTGTTGTGGGTGATTCGGGTTTTATTTCCTTTGCAAACCTGAGCAGTGGCTGATAAGAGAAGCTAAATCCCAGTGCTGCTCGGCTTTGCCAAGTGATCCACACTGGAAACATTCACACTCCCTTACCTGGTGTAGAAACCAAAATCTGACAACGTGTGAGGATGGCCAGCAGGAAATCATTGTGAGAATGGACTGGAAAAAAGGAAGGTTGCCACAAGTCAAACAGAGTATCTTCAACATAAGAAAAACATTAGCGTAGCTCGTAAATACTTTATATGTTCCCTCACTCTCTACCATTCTTTACAGTCAACTTTTTAAACCAATACTGTTAAGATTATCTGCACACCATCAAAAACAAAAGGAACTTCTTTTAAGTCTGGGGAAACTTGGAGAAATGAAGCACTACCGTTGTCCTGTGTGAGGAGCCTGTGGGCTTCAAGATCAAACTCTTCCTTGCTGATCTTCTGCTTGAACCACAGCTTCAAGTTGGCCCAGTATCTGCATAAGGAGAAACAGCATTAGAAACCACAGACCTAGCCACGCCTTTAATCCCAGCACTCGGGAGGCAGAGGCAGGCGGATCTCTGTGAGTTCGAGGCCAGGCTGGACCGACAGCCTCCAAAGCAATACAGAGAAACCCTGTCTCATAAATACCAAAAAAAAAAAAAAAAAAAAAAACCACAGACATTTGCCAATGCCCCCTGGTTCACTCCAGCTGCTCCAACTCCTAAGGAAGAAAGTTTATAAACTCCAGTGTCAGTGGCTGAGCTGTGGGAAGCCTCCTAGAGTCCCTCTGGGGAAGCCCCAGGCCTAGGCCCAGGCCCAAAAAAAGAATGCCATATCCCTCAGATTTAGCCCCATGCAAGACAGCTGACTTCCAAACCCTGTGAGCACTGTGTACAGAAAAATTAATTAATTCTCCTGGTATGCTTTTTAAAAGTATAAAGTCATCCTAATGGAGGCAAAAGGCTGTCATTTTCATGTATTAAAATATTTAATTTAATTCCTCCTTGCATCTCAGTGGGTCCTTCTGTGATACTATCTGGCTGCCCATGGAGCTGGGTGTGAAGGCCTTGAGGCAGGATGATCAGACCTAAAACATAAAAAGGAAAAGGAGCCCCTCCCCCCAGTCAGCTAAAATCTCTCACTAGCTGAAATAAAAATGCAACACAACAGTATCTGCCTTAAGACCTCATTCTCCCTTCCAGGATGTAAAACTGCAATTTTCTAGTCATCCCAACAGAAACCCCTTGTGCAACTTTAATGGCTCCTGGTTTTTTACTTTATCAAATATAAGCCCATCCAACTCACCAGCAAAGAGAAAGAAAATTGTACATTAAAAAAAAAAAGACAGACACTAAAATGCATATACTAAGACACTTAATTGCGACTCTCCATTGAGAAGCCTATGCCACACCTGAGTTTGCAAGCCTTATTCTTTCCCACTCTGGGACTTAACAGTCTACAAGTTGTAGTAACCATTGTTTTTAAAGGCCTTTTACTAAAGTGGGGCTCCGGTGAGGAGCCCGCGCCTTGGGCCGCTGTCTCAAGAGCCATTCTATCATCAGACCCCGGCTCTACTTCTGACTGCTCCAGTCTTTCCTGCACCGACAGCAGGAACCACGGGTTTGCCAGTGTTGAGGGTCCCCCAAAAGACTGAGGCACTTCCTCGGGCTGCGGTAGGTTGCAGCTTAGGGAGCTGTCACTCTGTTCCAGTCACTGCTGACAGTCCGGCTGGGCGCCTGGGGGTCCTTTTCAACCCCAGTGAAGGAGGCGTCCGTCATACAGCCGGAACCAGAAGCCTCGGTCCCATCCCTGGCAGGTGGCTTCTGGGGAGTAACTAGCCGGCTTCTCTGGGTGTCGGTGTCCTATCTACCAATGGGAGTAGTAACTGTGTGCATCTCACACCCGTTCCCGTTCGGGGGACTGGGTAGCACGCCTAGGGAGCTGGAAAAGGCGCCCCACGGCGGCTAGGCTGCCGTCCCTGCGGATGCTGCGGTGTTGGGGACCGACTTCACCTGGGGTCTGTGTGTCTTCCGAACCCGCTTTCCAAGCCTTCTCTACGCAGTCTCGCTGGCCCCGCGAGCGCTGTGGCTTCCGCCTCCAGGAAGCCCTCCCAACCCTCCGCCCCGGCGCGCCCCAGCTCCGCCGGCTCCCTGGCGTCCCCCGCCCCACGCGGGCATCCCCGGTCTCTCTAGCGCCCGGGAGACGGTCCTCTGGCACCTCGAGTCCCGGCCGGGAGCCGCACGGGAACCGCGGCGGCCGCGAGGCTCCTCAGGCCTCCCGGAGGTGAAGGAGTCCAGGGACTGCCGCAGCCCCGGGCCAAGAGCACGCCCACGCACAGGCCCGGAGGCTGGTCCCAGCGGCTCTTACTGTTTCACGTTGTCCCCCAGCGCCTCGCTCAAGTTCTTCTTGGCCGCCTCCAGCTCGCTCACAAAGGTCGCCATTGCAGCGCGCGTCTCAGCCCGACCGTAGACCGCGCGGCCCACAGAGACCTGCAACCGTAAGATCAACTCGGCGGAAGGCCTGCGCTCCGAACTCCGCAGGCTCGCCTCGACTGGTCGGCCCCGCCCCCAGCCGCTCGGGAGACGTTGCGTTTGTTTGGTTCTCGGCCCCGCCCGTCTTCCAGTCGGGAGAGCACCCGGCCCAACTCCGTTCACCAACTCCCGCCTCTCGGGTCACGTGATCCGCTTCGCCTAGAAGGCGCGTGCCCAGGCTAACACCCGCCCGCCCGCGGAGGCGTCGGGACAGCGGCCTTGATCGTCAGACCCCGCCATGACTGCATGACTGACAGGTCGGCTCTGAATTCCCACGCCTTCCTTCCAGAAGGAACAGCAGCTCCGGTCGCGGAGTGCATGCAATATCCCGTTTATTCTCTTGTCATCTTTTCTTTTTTTCGAGTACTCATCACCTATTGTGACGTTTAGTTGGTTTATCTCGTTTTCTGCCTCCTGCCACTCAAACATAAGTTCCCTGGAGGCAGGATTTGGTGTTATTGAAGTACTGGACATTCAACATTTATTTGCTGACCAAATAAAACAATTCCCAAGCAGGAAACCCAGAAGTCCCCTAGCCCCCTAGCTGAGAGGCAGAGACAGGAGGGTCCTAGAATCTCAGTGGCCCGCCAGCCTGGCCTGCAGAAGAAAAGTGCAAAGAAAGTCTTTTCCAAATCAAGGTCAAGTGGAAGGACCCACACTCTAGCTTGTCCTCTGCCCTCCCTGTGCACGCTCAAAATCATGCACGAATACACACATGCATATCAAACACCAAAGCCATAGCTAGGTCCAATTTGAACTTTTAAAAACGTAATGTCAGTTCTTAATTGTATTATTTTTTTGTCTTGTTTTCTTGAGAAAGGGTCTCTCTATGTAGCCCTGGCTATATTAGAACTCTCTATATAGACCAGGCTACTACTTTTGTAGGGAAAAGGGCCAGAAAAAAAAATACCCTAAGCAGAGCCAAAGAAACACACTTTGGCCCCGAAAGCAGAGCCAGTGAAAGAAACATGCCCTGGCCCTGAAATTAGAGTCAAGGAGCTAAAAGGATCAGTGAAAAGCCGCACTGTGGCCCTGAAACCAGAGCCCAATCCACCCCTGACCAACTAAGCAGAAAACCAACCAATCTCTGAGCATGAGATCTAGCCCATCTGAGCTGAGGGACTAAAATTGACCAATCGCCGCTCTGGAAACCTCCCTGGAACCATTCCTCCGCTAAGAAGCCCTTTATAAGCCCTGCACCCGGGCAGTTTGCCACTGTCTTCTTCCACCCTGGCAGAGGCAGTCACTCTCCTGGATTCTTCCCTCCCAGTAAATCTAGAGTGAGGTTTGGGGGACGATCTTTCAGAACCTGGGCAGAGTGGAGCAGAGCAGGGTGGTAACACTTCAGACCCAGAGAAACCTTCCCCTAGCCGATTGGGGTTGTTCTACTCCAGGGGACAGGGACAACTTCGCCTCCCCAGGCCAAGCAGAGCTGTTACACTGGGGAAACCTTTCCGTGCGGCAGGGCTGTAAGCTGCTTCGCCTACTGCGACCTGTGGTATTCCTTGGCTCCCAATTGCCAGAATACTTGTTCATCTGAACTGCAACACTCAGTATTCTTTGGCTTCCAAGTGTCAGAATACCTTTCCATCTGAGCTTTAACGCTTGCAACTTTGCCTTAATGCTCATGCTTTAGTGACAGCGTATTTTAGAAGATTTTATTTTTATGGATCTGTCTTTGTGAGCATGTGCTCTGCATGTGTGTGAGTTCCCCCCGAGGCCAGAGGAGGGGTCCGGAACCGGGAGCTCCATCCGAACTCTGCTCATCTGGAAGAACCACAAGTGCTCTTGACCCCTGAGCTGTCTCTGCAGTCTGCTGGTAACATAAGATGTGTGCAATGTTTCCTGATTACCAAGCTATTTTTCTATATTAAAAGCAATGATATGACAATCATCTTTATGCAGATTCTCCTCATTTGGAATTATTACTTTAAGACAGAATCCCATAAAAAGAATCATGGGACTAAATGACAACATTTATGAATGTCTTGTCTCTATGGTCAAGTGCCTTCCACATTTTAAAATAATCCTACAGATAACCAAAAGCGAGTCTCCATTTAAACCCACCAGCTTTTCATGTGCTTGTAGAGTTGGTTGGGCTGCCCACTTTCCTTCAGGTGCATTAAATGTCTGATACCATGCACCTGACCCTTGTTCTCTTTTATTAGGATGGGTGTTCCAAGCATAAGTTATTAAACTGCACCTATTGGAAAAGAGCCCTTTCCGGCCTCTGCGGCCTTTGCAGTAAACTAAAACTGAAATTTGGAGGAAGTGGCAAACACTGTCGGCCACCGTTCACGTGTGGTTAAGAGCTACAGGGTGCGCAAGCATCTGTGTGGAGATGGTGTCAGTCACTGGGAAGGTGTCTGGCAGGGGGATATCCCAAGTTTTCAAACTGTCACAGGGATTGCTGTCTATATGGGGAGACTCTCCTGGAAGTGGGATGAGCTCTAAAATCATCATCCAGAGAAGGAACAGCTCTTGTTGGTCCAGAAAGATGACCTGCTGATGGTGTCCCTCGGAAAAATCTGACCCCAGGGAAGGAACATGGTCGATGAATTTACAAGATTTGGTCAAGGCTCATTGGCCCAAATCAGAGAGGTGGTTTGCTGCCTGGAATTACAGCTGTGAGTATAGGAACAGCGTTACCATCCACAGTTACAGAGTTCACTGTGTCTGGGAGCTAGGACTTTCCCACCCCAAGACAAGAAAGTCACACTTAAATCTCTGGCTTCTTGCCTAATTTCTTTTTAAACGCTGGAATGTTTCTATAACGATGTCTTGTCTGCTACTTCGTCCTGTTATGGTGCCCACTTTATTTTATTAGAATACTGTGACATAACGAGGGAAACATTACATCGTGTTAAATTCTTCCTATGTTTATTGCTACTTAATCACTCAGTTTCCACATCTGCAAAGTGGAAATCATAATATTACTTACCTGAGGGTTGTTGTAAGAAATTATCTTGACAGATAAGCATTGATGAAAGTCTTTGACCCTGTATCAGGAACCAGCAAGATGACTCAGCAGAGAAAGGTGCTTGCCACCAGACCTTTGGACCTGGGTTCGATTCCTGAGTCCCACACGATGGAAGGAGAAAACAGACTCCCACAAATTGTCCTCTGAGCTTCACGCAAACACAAGGGCACTCATAAAATAAATAAAATGTAATTTTTTAAAAAGTCATTATGTAACCCCCTACTCTTTTATCCTAATAGTTCCACTGAAGATTTTCTGCAATGTTTTATTCGGTTTATTATATTGTCTACCAAAAGGAAAAACCCGTCCTGTAGTGGGAGTGTGGGTTTAACAGCTATTTCCTAGAAGGGAAGGCCAGGACTCAGACCTTGTTTCCTGGTCCACAGTCCAGTGCTGAAGGAACAGGAGACTCCAGGTTCCCAGCTCCAACTGGGCTAGATGGTGTCTCCGCGGCGGCCGCCAGGGGGCGCTGCTTCCTCACCTTTGCTCCAGGATGCTCAGATCCTGGTGAGAACCTCAGTTTTCCACCCCCCTCGGGACCAAGAATGGCCCCAGTGGCCACCAGGTCTCTCAGGTGAGACTCCAGGAAGCCCCAACCTTTGGACTAACACACCAGTCTCTCAAAAAATATCATTTCTGGACTTTAACTCAAAACTGAATTCTAAAGGAGAAATCGAGTAATTATTCGTATTTGGGACAACCTGGAGGAGGCTTTGGTCAGGGATGAAGACTGGGGCCTACAGAGGAAGCCTTACATATGTTGCCCCACCTGATGGTGAGAAATAGCAGAAGTCTTCGCGACGGCTCTCTCATCAGGCCCTACAAACAGAGAGAATATACTGAGAGTCTCCCTAACGTCAGGGCCACTGCACCACCCCCAGTAGCCAAAACTGTACCACACTGGGGTTTAAACTTCCGTTATCTTCATGTCGTAGATGGCCAAGATAGCACATGGAGCGGCAGGAGTACACTGCTGGAACTGAGTTCGAATGACACCGGAGTCCTGGCTTATCCCTTTGACCTTTTAACCAAGTCAATGATGGACCACATGTGCCAAGCACCACACTGAATGCAGTGGTCCCTCAGATTCCAGGATTCCCATAGAAACCAAAATTGGGAATGAAGTCCTCTATATAAGGTGGAATCATATCCCTATGTAACTTACACACATTCTCCAAATAAACTTTAAATCTAGATTCCTTATAAGATATAATATAATGGAAATACCATGTAAATAATTTTCCTGTTATATTATTTAGGGGATAAAAATAAGAAAATGTCTCTACTTGTTCAGTGCAGGATTTTTAATCTCTGCCCCGTATGGTGCGTGTTTGTATGCGTGTGGTGTGTGGTGTGTGGTGTGTGTGTGTGTGTGTGTGTGTGTGTTTGTATGTGTATAAGGTGTTTGTATGGTGTGTGTGTGAGATGTGGTGTGTGTGTGAGATATGTGTGAGGTGTGTGTGTAGTGTATGTGTGAGGTGTGTGTGGTGTTTGTGTATGTATGTGTGTTGTATGTGATGTGTTTGTGTGGTGTGCCTGTGTATGTGTATGTAAGGTGTGTGTGTATGTGTGGTGTGTGTATGTGTGTGGTGTGTGTGTGTGTGGTATGTATATGTGTGTGGTGTGTGTGAGGTGTGTGTGGTGTGTGTGTGGTGTGTGTATGTGTGTGTGTGAGAGAGAGGGGGGAAGGAGGGTAGGAAGGAAGGAGGGAAGGAAGGAAGGAAGGAAGGAAGGAAGGAAGGAAGAAGGAAGGAAGTAGAGGAGGGTGCAGAGTGTGTATTTAGAGATCAGATGTCACTCTCGGATTTTTTCCTCAGGAGCTGCCCACTTTGTTTTTTGAGACAGTGCCTCACTGAGACCAAAGTCTGATAAGCGCAGTTGCTGCCTGGCTAATGAGCCCTGGGATCCTCCTGCCTCTGCTTCCCCAGTGCTGGGTATACAAGCTTGTACCGCCACGCCCAGCTCTTTGTATGAGCTCTGAGGACAAACTCGGGTCAGCACATTTTCAATGTCCAGGTTAGAATATAAAGCAATGAATTTCATCA